AGTCTGTGGGGATGTCTCCGGCGGTTTGCCTGTTCCGGCGCCTCGGCTTCCTTCCTTTGGGTGGTTCGATGCTCAACGCGATATAGCAGGCGTGGCATTTGGGCACCCCAAGGGGGGGAGCCGCCAGGCGTGGGGGCACTCCATGCTCCGCGCTCAGTCTGTGGGGATGTCTCCGGCGGTTTGCTTGTTCCGGCGCCTCGGCTTCCTTCCTTTGGGTGGTTCGATTCTCAACGCGATATAGCAGGCGTGTCATGTGGGCACCCCAAGGGGGGGAGCCGCCAGGCGTGGGGGCACTCCATGCTTCGCGCTCAGTCTGTGGGGATGTCTCCGGCGGTTTGCTTGTTTCGGCGCCTCGGACTCATCTCTTTCGGTGGTCCAATGCTCTCCGCGACAACGCAGGTGTGCCGTTTGGGTACCCCAAGGGGGAGCCGCCAGGGGTTGGGGGCACTCCATGCTTCGCGCTCACAGTGTGGGGATGTCTCAAGCGGTTTGCTTGTTTCGGCGCCTCAGGCTTCGTTCTTTTGGGTGGTCCGATGCGAACCGCGACATAGCAGGCGTGGCAGTCGGGATCCCCCAAAAGGAACCATCAGCGGTGGGTACACTCCAAGATTCGCGTTCAGAGTGTGGGGATGTCTCAAACGGTGGTATGCTTGTTTCGGCGCCTCGGACTCATCTCTTTTGGTGAACCAATTCTCACCGCGAAATAGCAGGCGTGCCATTTGGGCACCCCAAAGGGGAGCCTCCAGGGGTGGGGGCAATCCATGCTTCGAGCTCAGATTGTTAGGATGCCTCAAGCTGCTTGCCTGTTTTGGCGTCTCGAACTTGCTTTTGTTGGTGGCCCACTGTTCACCGCGATCTAGCAAGCGTGGCAGTTGGGTATCCCAAGTGGAAGCCGCCAGGTGGTAGGACACTCTAGTATTCGCGCTCAAACTGCGGGGATGACACAGGCGGTTTGCCTCTTTCGCCCCCCCCGAATGCGGAGGAGGGGCAGGAAAGGAAGGGCAATTGGGCACCCCAAGGGGGAGCCGCCAGGGGTGGGGACACTCTCCCGTTCGCGGCCAGATTGTGGGGATGTCTCAGGCAGTTTCCTTGCTTCGGCCCCGCAAAGCTTCTCCATATTGATTGGTGGTGCGCGCCCATCGCGGCCCGATGCCAAGGGCGGACGGCCGCTGTTGTTTCAGCCTGCGAAGCAGTCGCACTTGCTTGTCAGCCCCGCCAGAAGGACCTCGCGCAGAAAACATCTCGGATGCCTCCAGGCCTGATCTGGAAGAGGAAGGAAAAGGGGAAAGTTTGATCACCGCCTTTTCGTGAGTTAATGTCGTCGTCGCTGTCTCTCGTCGTAGCCGCCGCCGCCGTCATCGTCGACGTGTCCGCACCTCATTCGGGTTCGCTCTCACGCCCCGACGCTCGCAGCCAGACACTCACAGCGGGACGTGCCAGAACTTGAGATGCACATATCACATATCGGGATCTCCGCGTCGAATAGTTCACTGCCCTGAGCGCCCCCCTGTGGGCCCACAATTCGGGCGGGAGTTTCGCTACGAAAAAGAACCACCCCCCACCATTTCAGCTCTGAGGAACGCGACGGGGTGGGAACATCAAATCCGCCAGCCCCCTCGTGGGGCCATCAGGCTGCGTGGCGGAGGTTTCGTGCTTCCTGCGCCAATACCCGTTTCCAATCTCAAATGTTATAGTTATACTTCCTGCTTCGTACTGTAATTTTCTAATGTCCGCGCGAGGGGGGGAACCGAAAACTGCCGTGGCCACTACAGACATCGTGCTACCAGAAGGATGGCACAACATGAAACGAATGGGCTTTTCTGGCCACGGCAGGCCTAGGCCACAAACAGGCCCCCCGAGCTAAACCTGTTGAACGACCCGAAAACAATAACCCCTCCTGAACCCAAGGTGGTTCTTGTTTCAGCGTAGTGTCTGTACGCCCGAATCGCGTTGCCTGACTTTCTGATGGGTCTGGGACGCGTCGAAATATTTAACATTCGCACCCCCGAAGCAATTATCCGTCGTAAATTATGCCGGCTTCGCATTTCCGAGGTCGGAATCCGTCGTAAATCAGGGCTGGACCTAAACGGTGTTTTTCGTTGTCGTTTTAGTTTTTCTTCGTTTTGTTTTCAATCCGCCTTTAGCGCAAAACGAAATCGAAACGAAATCGGCCCACGAAATCACCAAAACACCGTTTAGGTTCACCCCTGTCGTAAATCACACCAGATTCGCGATCCCGAGGCCAGAATCCCTGGCAAATTGCGCCAGGCTCGCGCTCCCGATCCCAGAGTCTGCTGTAAATTGCACCAAGCTCGCGCTCCCAAAGCCAGACCTCCTTGTAAAGTACGCCGGATTCTGGCTCCTGGGCCACGATTCCTCGCACATTGCTTCAGATCTACGTTCCCGAGGCCAGAACCCTTGTAGATCACGCCGGATTCGCGCCCCCGAAACCACAATCCTCGCAATTTACCAAAGATTCGCGCCCCTGAGGCGACGATCCCTTGTAAATGACTTCTGACTCGCGTCCCCGAGGCTGTGTTAATGGCGTCACAATTGCCACCAGTCCCCGCATGAGGTTCCGATATCGCGTCAAGTCGACACCCAAGCATTCCAACATAGGTTATGTTGGGATGCCTGGGTGCTGACTTGAAGTCTACACGATGAAATCATGAATGGCCCACAGTCGAGGTGAATTAAAGAGGACACACGAGAGGACACAAGACTCTTCCGAGGGCCACATTGCCATATGAATGTAGAAGCATGGGTCGCGAGGCGCAGGACACAAGGGTACTCTGGGTTTCTTAATAAGCGTGGGAGGGGGCCTCCCCGACGGGTGTCAACCTCGCCTCGTCGTCGCGCCGCGACGGGGGTCGGAGCGCCTTCGGCGCGCGGTGGCTGCCCGCGACGAGGGTCGATGCGGGGCTGTCGGCGGGGGTGACGCCCCCCCGACGCTTATCAATAAACTCGGAGTACCCTTGATTTGGCAGGGTCGACCTACTAATCAGCCTCGACTGTACTTTTTGTTCGGGCTGCCGCCAGTCGTTTCCAGCAGCCGCATGTCCCGTTCCGGTGGAGGCAAGGCGCGCCCGTGCCCGCTGCGGGGCGTGGCCTGGAAGGCTGGCGCGGGCGGGCCTGGCCCTCGGTCGCAGATGTGGAAGTCGTGGCCAGTGCAGTGCGTATGGCGCGCAGTGGAGGCCATTCCACAAGAAACTCTCCACAAGAAACCCAATCCTGAGACCCAAGGACGTCCATGGATTCTTGTTGCGGAGACGTCACGCTTTCCACTGCAAGGCCATCGAAACCCCAGAAACCCAGGGCACCCAGGGAGGCGAGAAGGGTGTTTCTTGGCATGGGCCTCCACTGTAGGAATGCTTGTTCCAGATTGCTCCATCGAGTGCTGTCTCGTGCTGTCCCGTTCTGCTACAGAGTGGGCCGGCGGCCGAGGGCGAAGCCCTTGCGGATCCGAGGAGGTCTCCAACGACGACCCCGCTTCAAGAACGGCCGCCCCCCCCCCCCAACAACAAAAAACACACACGTGTCAGTGCTGCACCACTCTGGTCTGCCACCGAATCTGCCGAGATCTCGGGGGAAAGCCACATGCTGGAAAGGATCCACGGACATCCAGAAAACAGCATCCCGGACACCACCGTTCGGGCCATAAGGAGGCTCGAGGGAGATAGCATTGCGTTCTCAGGCCTGGGGTACGCTCCCACAGTGCACGGCACTGCGCTGACATTTAGGCATGGCGCCCGACGGATTGGGCAATGCATCTGGAAGATCGCCCTTCATCCGTATAGCTGTTGCACAATGTCAAAAATCCCACCAGCCCTCTGGGCGTCGGTGGTTTAACGAGTTTCCTCTTCCACCCCTCCCTCTTCCCCTTCGGGGAGGGGTTTACCCCTCCCCCTACCCCCTCCCCACTGACCTGGACAGGAGGGGCGGGGAGCGGTCAGAGCGTCCAAAACGGCCTCGGCGAGGAAGCCAAAAACATTGATTTTACTATGGTTTTGGCCCCATTTTGGCCTTCTCAGGGGGCAACGCTAATTAAGGCTCCCCTCTTCTTTGATCGATTTCCTCCGCGATGGCCGCAAGAGGCCCCCAGGATGCCCCAAGAGGCCGCAGGATGGCCCCAAGATGGCCCCAAGAGGCCCCCCAAGAGGCCCCCAGGAGGCCCCCAAGAGACCCCCAAGAGGCCCCAAGATGGCCCCAAGAGGCCCCAAGAGGCCCCCAGGAGGCCCCAAAGAGGATCCCGAACGGCCCACAGAGGCCCCCCCGAGGCACCCAAGACGCCGAAAAGCCCCTCAGGACGACCCTCTACTCGCCTGGGCGTCGTTTCTGGACGGGCTGGTGGGGATACGCGAAGCGTCTAGAATTGTGTTTCGCACTTTGTTGAACACGTCTCACGCGAGGGCCCCATGCTGAAAACGGCCCGCCCTGCATCCTTGCAACTGCTGGATTTGTTTAAGGCGAGCGTGTGCGGCACCATGGCGAGAGCCCCACCCTGAAAACAGCCCGCCCAGCATCCGCAGAACTGTTGGATCTGGTTCAAGACGAATATGCGTGGCGCTGTGGCGGGAACCAGACTGTCAAAACCACCGGCCCTGCATCCTTGTAACCGTTAGAGCGTTTGCGTTTCAGGGTCACTTGCCATCGCTCGGACGTCCACTTCCCGTGCATTCTTCGGCTTCGTGCGTGATTTTTTTGCTCGATGGTCCAGGATGGTCCTCGATGGTTCTCGCCGAGACAAAATGCACACGTCCGAGCGATGCCAAGGTCATGATAACATGGAAGACAGAGGCGAAACGCCTGGCCCGGCCTGCGGACACGGCGGATGGTGCGGCACGGAGGAGTTATCCACGAGCAAATCAAATGAAGAAGAGCGAAGGAGGATGAGGAGGAGGATGAGGAGGAGGAGGAGGAGGAGGAGGAGGAGGAGGAGGAGGGGGAGGAGGAGGGGGAGGGGGAGGAGGGAGAGGGGGGTACGCGGGACTGGCGGGCACGACAGGGGACTCCCGGCTGGCCGCAGCGAGCTGCAGACCGTACTCCCAGGGGCCGAAGGCCACCGCGATCACCGCGCCCTGCAGCTCGTGGCGGTAGACGGCCAGCGGGCGAAGAGCGAGGCACGACAAGCTTCGCGCCGTCGCGCCCCGCGATGCGCGACGCGAGGCCATCTTCGCGCCAGCGCGCCCTCGCTCCGCCAACCCGGAGAAGGGCGAACTCCATGGCTACCTTCGCGCCCCCCCCGCAGGAGGCCTGGCCAGACGCCTGCCCCATGGGCGGCCGACAGGCTCGTGCCCACGAGCGCCGCCGCGGGGGTTCTCGAGACCTCTCCGGCCGCCGCGGTGGCCAGCCGCCCGCCGCGGCGGAAACCCTCTTCCCGCTGCGTGCCGCTCTTCGCCCGCCGGGATGGCGCACCAGTCGTCCTCGGTCTCGCCGGTCGAGTCGGAGCGCCAGACGGGCCCCCGCCAGAACAGCACGCACCTGTCCTCGCCTGCCGAGGCCAGCACCTGCCCGTGGGTCGGGTGCGCCCACGCGACCGCCCAGATGGCGCCACCGTGGCCGCTCGGTGGTCCGTCCCGGCCCAGCTCCACCACGAGCTGCCTGGACTCCACGTCCCACACGCGCACCCGGTGGTCGGAGGAGGCCGTGGCGAGCCTCTTGCCGAAATGATCCAGCTGCACGGCATGGATGGGGCCGTGGTGCGCGGTGTCCAGCCAAGCCTGGGGCATCGCGGCAATGGTTCCCTGCAAGGTCAAGGATCAGGTCAAAGTGGCTACGGTGACACTTGGCTGCCCATCACTGGCAGAGTGAAGACGATGCGGACGACGACGACGACGACGACGACGACGACGACGACGACGACGACGACGACGACGACGAAGAAGGCATGGAAGAGGACGAGGGAGGATGAGGGAGGAGAATAGCGATGGGGATAGGCGAAGGGGGTCGTGCATGGTCCAGCGCACACGTATACGTGCATAATCCGCCGGCCCCCTTGTGGGGCCACCAGGCTGTGGGACCAGGGTTTGCTGTTCCCTGCACCAGTTCCAGTTCCCAGTTTCCACTGTTTTAGTTATGCTTCTTGCTTCTTACTGTTCCTTGTTGTAGACCGCGCGAGGGTGGGAGCCGCAAACCGCCATTTTTACCACGCCCAGATCGCGTGCTCAGAATTTCTGGGGGGAGCGAAACTGACACCCCTCACGCAGATCGGCGGGGTCAAAGTCCAAAAACACAAGGGATCCGATACATTTCTGAAATTCGGTGGCACACCTCACGCAGATCGGCGAGCTCAGGGTCCGAAAACACATGGGATTTGCTACATCTACGCAGATCGGCGGGCTTAGGGTTCAACATGATGGACCCACGAACCCGGAAAGGGATAAAGACATGTGCAGCATGGTCACGTTTTCACGATACCCAACTGGGCGACATCTCACGAAACATCCCACGAGACACCCCGCGAAACATCCCACGAGACACCTCACGAAACATTCCACGAGACACCTCACGAAACATTCCACGAGACACCCTTTGAAACATTCCACGAGACACCCCACGAACAGGCAACCACTCAACCAGACACGCCACGAAACATTCCACGGGGGTGCGACTGGGTGTGGTCGTGCTGGGGTGTGGTCGTGCTGGGGGGTGGTCGTGCTGGGGTGTGGTCGTGCTGGGGTGTGGTCGTGCTGGGGGGTGGTCGTGCTGGGGGTGGTCGTGCTGGGGGGTGGTCGTGCTGGGGGTGGTCGTGGGGGGTGGTCGTGCTGGGGCGTGGTCGTGCCACCCCGCGAAACATCCCACGAGACACCTCACGAAACATTCCACGAGACACCTCACGAAACATTCCACGAGACACCCTTTGAAACATTCCACGAGACACCCCACGAACAGGCAACCACTCAACCAGACACGCCACGAAACATTCCACGGGGGTGCGACTGGGTGTGGTCGTGCTGGGGTGTGGTCGTGCTGGGGTGTGGTCGTGCTGGGGTGTGGTCGTGCTGGGGGGTGGTCGTGCTGGGGGGTGGTCGTGCTGGGGGGGTGGTCGTGCTGGGGGGTGGTCGTGCTGGGGCGTGGTCGTGCTGGGGCGTGGTCGTGCTGGGGCGTGGTCGTGCTGGGGTGTGGTCGTGCTGTGGTGAGGTCGTGCTGGGGTGTGGTCGTGCTGGGGTGTGGTCTTGCTGGGGTAGGGTCGTGCTGGGGTCGGGTCGTGCTGGGGTGTGGTCGTGCTGGGGTATGGTCGTGCTGGGGTGGGGTCGTGCTGGGGTGGTCGTGCTGGGGTCTGGTCGTGCTGGGGTGTGGTCGTGCTGGGGTATGGTCGTGCTAGGGTGGGGTCGTGCATTTCGCTCGAGACATCCTGCCAAAATTCCAGGAAATCGTACAAAAACAAACAAATTAGTCGAAACATCATCGAAATTCCTTCGCGCGGGGCGCTTTTCCGCGTCGCGGTCGGCTCTGCAAAACAAGCGTTTCGCTCGAGACATCCTCGGCAAACTCTGCGGAGCAAGCGTTTCGCTCGAGACATCCTCAACACACGAAAAAGTGGCCCGCACCCTGTGATTTATCGATCGGGATTTCAAAAACAAGCGTTTCGCTCGAGACATCCTCAAATTTTAATTCGCCGGCCTCCTTCGACCTCGATATTTATCAGGGAAAAAATTCGCCGGCCTCCTTCAAGTTGGCACCGGGGGACAGGTTTACCCACTAAAAGAGAACCCTGGGCCCGAGCCCTTTCCGGGAAAAACACACGGGATATGCCACATTTCTGAAATTCGGTGGCACCCCTCGCGCAGATCGGTGGGGTCACGGTAAAAAAACACAAGGGATTTGCTATATTTCTCAAATTCGGTGGCACCCCTCACACAGATCGGCGAGGTCAGGGTCGAAAAATACATGGGATGTGCCACATTTCTGACATTCGGTGGCACCCCTGACGCAAATCGGCGGTCAGGAATCAAAAACACAAGGGATCCGCTACATTTCTGAAATTCGGTGGCACCCCTCACGCAGATCGGCGGGGTCAGAGTCCAAAAACACTAGGGATTTGTTGAAATTAAGAGGCACCCCAGTGGGGTCAGGACCAAAAAACATATGGGATTTGCAACATTCCAGTACTTCGTAGAAAAGCTTTTTGCATAGCATATGCGAGCAAGCTCGACATGCAACGCCGAATTCAACAATATCATCAGATTCTCAATTTGTCTTGCCAGTGACTCATCGTCTTCGCGTGAA